GGCTGCCACGTACACGTGCGTGCGTGCGGCGCATGACACGTACAAGTGCAGTGCACGTACACGTGCGTGCATGCGTGCGTGTGCACGTACACGTGTGCGCACGTAAACGTGCGTGCATGCCGTGCGTGTGTGGTGTGCCGTGCGTGCGTGCGTTGGCGTGACGTACGTGCGTGCATGGCGCTGGGTGCGTGCCGGCGTGCAGTGCATCACGTGGCGTGCGTGCGTGCCGTGTGGCACGTACACGTGCGTGCATGCGTGCGGGTGTGCACGTACACGTGCGTGCTGAGTGTGTGCGTGCGTGTGCACCTACACGTGCGTGCGTGCGTCCGTGTGTGTGGCACGTACGCGTGCGTGCGTGCGTCGTCGTGGCGCGTGCGTGCAATGTGCACGTAGACGTGCGTGCGTGTGTTGCACGTACACGTGCGTGCATGCGTGCGTGTGCACGTACACGGGCGTGCATGAGGTGTGCGTGCGTGTGCACGTACACGTGCGTGCGTGCGTGCGGGCGTGCGTGTGTACGTACACGTGCGTGCGTGCGTGCGTGCGTGCGGTGCGTGTGAACTTACAGGTGCGTGCATGCGCTGTCGGCTGCGAGTGTGTGCACGTACAGCGTGCGTGCGTGTGTGCGCGCGTGTGCGGTACACGTGCGTGCCGTGCGTGCGTGCGTGTGCTTGTATCGAACAATATCACGATCTGCTTGCTGCCAACCGTTAAACTCGTGCATGTGCGCATATGACGTCAATGTTTATAAACATGAAACATCGCCATAGGTCAGCCGAAAACACAGAGACAGCGAGTCATACGAAACGTGTCAAAGTAACGGATCCATTTGTGTTTTACGAGAATGACACGGCTTGTTGAACCAATGAGAGAGTGCTAGTACCTCGAAGTGGTAGAAGAAGAGAAAGAAGTGGTAGAAAAAGCGCAAAGGGACGAAGTGACAGCAGATTCAAATCAAAGGGACAAGAATCGTAATCGAGCCATTGAAAAAGTTACAAGATTAGGCCGTTTATCTAGAAAACCTAAGAGTTTTAGTTTTAAATTCTTTGTAAACTGCGTGTTACAATATGTACAGTTGTGTACTATGTATGTAGTGGCCTCGAGCCGGTCTCGACCCGAGTTCCTCGAGTCCGGAGGGCTCGAGTCCGAGTCGAGTCCGAGTCATTGCACTCTGAGGCCAAGACCTAGACCGAGACCAAGGAAAACGGTCTCGAGGCCGGTCTCGAGGCCAAGACCGGCCTCGAGACCTACAACACTGATGTATGTATGTATGTATGTATGTACGTACGCACGTGCGTGCGTGCGTACGTGCGTACGTGCGTACGTGCGTATGTGCGTATGTATGTATGTGTGTATGTAAGTATGTATGTATGTATGTATGTATGTATGTATGTATGTATGTATGTATGTATGTATGTATGTATGTATGATGTATGTTATGTATGTATGTATGTATGTATGTATGCTATGTATGTATGTATATGTATGTATGTATGTATGTATGTATGTATGTATGTATGTATGTATGTATGTATGTATGTATGCTATGTATGTATGTATGTATGTATGTATGTATGTATGTATGTATGTATGTATGTATGTATGTATGTATGTATGTATGTATGTATGTATGTATGTATGTATGTATGTATGTATGTATGTATGTATGTATGTATGTATCCCGGCCGGATTCATCAACGTTGCGTAAAGTGTATTGCGTAACCGAGTTTCTACGAAGTACGTACGCAAAGCTCGTAGGTGCGATTCATCAACGCAGCGTAGCACCTGCGTACGCAAATGTTGATGAATTCCAGTGTAAATCCACTACGCCATCGTGGCTGCTGGCCGTTGTGAAGGGCGTGCTAGCATAAACCAATCACACTGTGCGGCACATACCGATAGGAACCAAACGGACGCCTCTCTGCCATATGGCTCTTCTAGCTCTGTCTAAATCAGTGCTGGGGGATGTGATAGTGTCCACATTTTCGTTTGTATGGTTGCGTTCAACACTCATGAAAGCAGCGACACGTACACGGTGGCGTGCGTGCGTGCGTGTGCACGTACACGCGTGCGTGGCGTAGTGCACGACACGTGCGTGCGTGCGTGCATGTGCACGTGTGCGTGCGTGTGTTGTGCCGTAACGGGTGTGTGCACGTACACGTGCGCTATGCTGCACGTACACGTACGTGTGTGCGTGTGCACGTACACGTGCGTGCGTGCCCGCGTGTGTACGTACACGTGCGTGCGTGCGTGTGTACGTACACCGGGCGTGCGTGCGTGCGCACGTACACGTGCGGCGTGATTGTGCACGTGTGCGTGCGTGCGTGTGCACGTACACGTGTGCGGCGTGTGCACGTACACGTGCGTGCGTGCTGTGCGTGTGCACGTACACGTGCTGTGCGTGGCGTGAGTTTGTACATACACGGGGCGGGCGCGTGCGTGGCGTGTGCACGTACACGTGCGTTTCGTGCGTGCATGTGCACGCGTGCGTGGCGCGGGTGTGTGTGCACGCTACACGTACGTGCGCTGTGCACGTACACGTGCGTTGCGTGGCGTGTGACGTACACGGGCGTGCGTGCGTGCGCACGTACACGTGGCGGTGCGTGATTGTGCACGTGTGCGTTCGTGGCGTGGCACGTCACGTGCTGTGCGTGCGTGTGTACGTACACGTGCGGTGGCTGCTTGTGTGCGTGCGTGTCACGTACATGTGCTGTGCGTGCGTGTGTACTATCACGTGCGTGCGTGTGCACGTACATGTGCGTGCGTGCGTGCGTGCAGTGCACGTGCGTGCGTATGTGTGCCGTACGTGCGGTTGCACGTACACGTGCGTGCGTGCGTGCGTGGTGTGTACGTACACGGGCGTGCGTGCGTGGACACGTACACAGTCGTGCGTGCGTGCTTGTGCACGTGTGGCTTCGTGCGTGTACACCGTACACGTGCGTGCGTGTGCACGTACACGTGGCTGCGTGTGCCGTACATCGCTAACTACGAATCGCTCATAACGAAACAATGCCAAGCTATGACAAAAGAAGCGTCAAGGCGCGCCGCGTCTGTGTAGTATGGTAATTATTTATTTATTTGTAGTTGAGTAGTAATTTTATAATGTTTTTCTCAATAAAAATAATGTATGCTGCGTATGCTGGAAACCCTGCGGAAATTCGAGTGGTTTACGGCACCTTGTCAGCTCGTGTAAAGTTACGCAAAGGTTTACGTAAATATTAGCTTTGATGAATCGCCCTAAAACGGCCTCGCTTGCGTACGCGAAATCGTACGCCAAATTTACTAAATAACTGTGTTGATGAATCGCCAACTAACCAACGTCGATTGCGTACACAAGATTTACGCAAATAATTTTGCGTACGCCCAGCTTGATGAATCTACCCCTGTATGTATGTATGTATGTATGTATGATGTATGTATGTATGTAATGTATGTATGTATGTATGTATGTAATGTATGTATGTATGTGTGTATGGTGTGTATGTGTGTATGTGTGTATGTGTGTGTGTGTGTGTGTATGTGTTTGGTGTGTGTGTGTGGTGCGTGCGTGCGTGCGTGCGTGCGTGCGTGGCGTGCGTGCGTGCGTGCGTGCGTGCGTGCGTGCGTGCGTGCGTACGTAGTACGTACGCTACGTATGTATGTATGTATGTATGTATTCATTATGTATGTGGGTTATGTATCGTACCCTATACCCGGGGAGTGTTCATAGACGAAAAAAATCTGTCAAACAATGAAACTCACTGAAAAATCCGTCAAAAATCGTGAATTCGTGAAACTTCAGACAATGTCAGCACTCGCTGTACAATGCTGCCACACACAGAAAAATCTATGACTATTCTTTTCCTCACCTCATCAGCTGCTGGTATTGTGAAACCGAAACCATGCAATACTAAAACACAGCACAACTTGGACCAGTTCAGAGGTAGGTGCGCGCCAAGCATTCACTAGACAATATCCAGTGGACACAGACCCCACTCGCTGGCCTGTCTCTATCTATACTATATATGGAATTTCTTTTATTCATGGTACGATCTCACAATAGATAACTGTGCGTGGGGAGTTCAACAGTTGGAGACGCCAGGAATCTCTACATATTTGCACCAGAGAAAAACGAAAAACATGTTTATCAGAGACTTTGAAATTAAAAGTGCAACCCATTCGTACATGATGTTATAATAACTTTTTGTCATTTACACCATATTACTATTATGTCCCAAGGATTCAAGTTGGGTTGTGCTGTCATATAAATGTCATACGTAACAGTTTTTTCCCATGCTTATAATTATCTTATTAGACTGATTTGTAAATATTGATATTGTGTGCAATGTTATTGACGATTTTCACCCAATGTTCCTATTGTGTCCCAGTATTAGTGCACGAAGGGTCGTTGTCGTAACAGGTACTACAGATATGTACCCGAGGTAGTTTTAGGTTGTTTAGTATTATCAAGAGTGGATAAAAGAGATCTTTTATCCACTCTTGGTATTATGTTTATATTTTTATATGAGGTATGTTTAGGGTTAGAGTTAGGGTTAGAGTTAGGGTTAGGGTTAGGGTTAGTGTTAGGGTTAGGGTACACTTCTGTAGTACAAGATCTGGTACACTTTGTGTATACATATATGTACCTCGGGGCTCGGGTACATATCTGTAGTACCTGTTACGACAACGTCGACCCCTTGAGCATTATTAGTAGTATGAATTAGTAGCACGATTTTACCCAGCGCAGCGGGTACGTACGCGCAGCTAGTATTTGGATAAACGTGATCACAAGCTCCATCAAAATTTTATAACCATATTCAAATTCGGACATAATAATCCTACTGCCATAGGCTAACGGGATCGTCAGTCTATGCTACAATGGACGAAAAATATCGATATTAGCGAATGATATTGTTAGTCTATGCGGTACGGCCGCGCAGACATGCATCCGTACGATCTACATTCGCCATATTGGATTTGGATGCGGTCACATGGTTCAAAATAATAACGCGATTAGTGAGTCGCCATTTTCCGAAGTGCAAAGTTCTTTCGCAACTTGTGTTTGGCAGATGAACTCCAGGTGTAACAAACAGTAAAGCTAGAAGTTGTTTTGGTATATTTTTAAATCGTCGTATATTGAAACTGTTGCGAGTTTGATGCTTTTCTCCCACTTTGCGTGAGTTTCTTCCTCTTGGAATGCGACTAGTTGCGACGTGAGTCTGGAAGGGCCAGTCGAGGAAGTGAATGGGTCACCTGCAAAAGGCGCGTTTGATATCGCGGGTTTACAACTTACACCTGTGCGTGCGTGTGTGTGATAGAATAATTTTTATATATTATTTAGCTTATCGTTTATCTACCGCCTAACTACTATATTTATGCTGTATCATGTATGTTGCTGTGCACGAATGGGTGGTTCCTTATACTACTAGTACTAGTACTAGGGTGCAAATCCACTTTAGGCACCTTAGGCTTAGGTATCACGAAGTGATGCACAGGTTTCTGTGTATCATCAACTGATGCACAGAATTTCCGTATATCAAGGAATGATGCAAAAACCCTAACCCTAACCCCAACCCTAACCCTAACAGTAACACACTTCGTGATATCTAAGGAGTAAGGTTATACTTTATGACTTAGGGTTAGGGTTAGGGTTAGGGTTAGGGTTAGGGTTTTTGCATCATTCCTTGATATACGGAAAGTTTGTGCATCAGTTGATGATACACAGAAATCTGTGCATCACTTCGTGAAACCTAAGGTGCCTAAGGCCGACCTAAATATTACCTTTGGTTCGGGTCACCCGCCCGACTTCACATTTCGGAGTGATAAAATGTGCGACTGCGGTCATTAGAGGGTTTCAAGAAAAAATAAATTCAAAGATACCGCCTGCCGATCATACATATTCAAATATCCGACTCTTGTCATTTTATTTACCTAAGGAGAGTTCCAAAATATTTATAAACAGAACTTTGTGGCGCGAAGTGAAACGTTCTACCTACGTACGTTCCCTAGAATCCTCCAACGTGAAACAGTCGTATAGAGCCTGGGGGCCGCCGGCTACTTCATAAACAGAGCCTGAAGGTCGTATGGTGCAGCGGCCGGCTTTTATGTACTATATAGTATACGCATGCTATCGTGCTATACGCGGCCGCAGAGCCGTTTACACTTCGGTTACTCGCTTGTTCAAGACGATTAATCAAGCTCCGTTTTTGGAGCGATTCCTAACACTACTATCCAGTACACGACACGATACCAGTAACACACACAGTAAACGACTGGTGTTCACATTTTGAAAACAATGTCATGACTTGCAGCAATGGTACATGCAACTGCAAGTCATTTGCATCTCGTGGCTCCTGCATTTCAAAGCTGTATGCCTACCTACCGACCCTAATTTTCACAATCATGTGACCCGAACCAAAGGTATTTTTTTGTTTGGCCTAAAGTGGATTTGCGCCTACTACTAGTAGTAGTAGTAGTACTAGACCGAATAATTCTGTCCCATATAACCTTTTTTTATATTTTGGTGATGGTTATTGGGACAGAACGGGGTTCATTGAAATTTCGTGAGATCGCATGCAAAATACATGCGCTGCGAATGCGGCCCGTACGCCGCTATTGGCGCGAAAAAAAACCTACCGTTCCCTTCTACATGGCTTTACCTTGCTACTGATATGTGTATACATTCACTTCAATCGTTATTCACTTCTTAAAAGATCGTTTTTCAGAAACCCTGCTTCATTTAACTTTAGTAAATTACATTCGCCATTTACAAACAATCAGACCAATCAGAGCGAGGCTTACAATAGCCCCTGGTTCTTGCTTGTATCTGTGGCGCTGCGGAAGGGCTGATAGACTCGCTCTGATTTGTCTCTAAAAACGATCTTTTAAGAAGTGAATAACGATTGAAGTGAATGTATACACATATCAGTAGCAAGGTAAAGCCATGTAGAAGGGAACGGTAGGTGTTTTTTGTGCCAATAGCGGCGTACGGGCCGCATTCGCAGCGCATGCATTTTGCATGCGATCTCACGAAATTTCAATGAACCCCGTTCTGTCCCAATAACCCTCACCAAAATATAAAAAAGGTTATATGGGACAGAATTATTTGGTCTATAGTAGTACTAGTAGTAGCACTACTGCCACTACTACTACTAGTTATAGTTATACACGACACGGCCCATTCGGCATTCCTAGGCCTAGTGCTCGGCCGTTCGTTCACGGTTTCAGGTATCTAGACCTATTAGTATTAATATTAATAATAAGTTATAGTAATACTAATAACTAGTATAATAATAATAATAGTAATACTAATGCCTCGCATTATGAAAATGATGCGATGCAGAAAAGTCTGTAACACGGAATTCCGTAACGAGCCGCATGCCTTAGAATAGCCCAACTAGGCTGTGCGATTGATCGTCTATACAGTCTGACACCCTTCCATACAAAAAACCTATCACCTCTGCAGATCTAGATGAATAACTCTGTATATCTCAAATAAAACTATTCTATTACCACCTTTGACTTGTCTTGTTTGAAATATGAACATTAACTCACAGTTGTCCTGCTTCTAAACTAGAATGTATCTCTTAATTCATGGTATAATCTGCTAATTCTCACAGCATATCAACTTTCCAAGCAGCTTTCCACGATTGGTTACCCGCCATGTTTACACTGCGGACGCTCAACGGAAGAGAGACACGGAAAACCTGAAACGGAAAAGACTCGCTAAAAAATACTATAAAAATAGTACAATAGCCGCACGATGGCTCTCACGGCCATTACACACGAAAGCAAGTGGAACGATGTTCACAAATGTCTGTGCCATTTGTAAAAACCTTAGATGACATGTTCTCGGATGTAGGAGTGGTTTACATGAGGACCGCAGTTCGTTTAATTTCCCTTGTTCGATCCATTGCGGATTTTAGTCACAGGCGGAATGATACAACATGGTGGGAATTCATAAATTTGGTTGCATTCGTCTCAAAAAGTCGCTGTAACCCCTTAAGTACCCAGCGCATCGTAGTGCACTGATGGTTACAAGAAGGTGGATGTATGTGGATTCATTTGCTATATCACATGTGAAGTGTTCTTTGGTGATACTTGGCAAATAAGACAACTACGTGTTTAGCTGCAGCCAATGTTTGAAACGGTCTTCTAACCCTAGCAAGACCGTTTTTGGAGCTAGCCTTAGAATTGTGTTTTTGCATGGAAAACCTATTTATTCATAGGAATAAATTTTTTTTATGCAGGAGCAAGTTTTTGTTTCATATCACAAGTAAGGTGGTAATAACTTACAAATTATCAGGAGTAGATATTAGGGAAGGAGTGTGACTTCAATAAACAAGGGAAATTCGTCATTTACTAGCCTTAGAATACCTACGATTTACTATGCGTAACTCAACCAACTTGAGCTCAAATCGTACACAGTACATTCGCCTAGCATCGTGCGAAATCGTTTCCTCGTATACACCAGCAATCCTGAGATACAGACTAAAACGTACGACACGATTATCCATTCTTTGGCTATCAATCCGAACGTATTGTCCGCCGAACTTGAAACAAAAGGCAGCTACTAATGCACTCTTGCTCACTCGGCGAGGCGGTGTGGCTCGCTGGGAGATTGGACATTGACGCAACACTCGGCGAGATAACCTTTGACCCGGCATACAGCTGGTATGCCCCCCACGCACGCACCCCCACTGCAAACAGCAGCAGCTCCAGCTCCAATCTCCCAGCGAGCCACACCGCCTCGCCGAGTGAGCAAGAGTGTGTTAGTAGCTGCCTTTTGTTTCAAGTTAGGCAGACAATACGTTTAGATTGATGGCCAAAGAATGGATAATCGTGTCGTACGTTTTCGTGTCGTACGTACGTCTATCTCCAGATTGCTGGTGTATACGAGGAAACGATTTCGCACGATGCTAGGCGAATGTACTGTGTACGATTTGAGCTTAAGTTGGTTGAGTCACGAGTAGTAAATCGTAGGTATTCTAAGGCTAGTAAATGACGAATTTCGCTTGTTTATTGAAGTCACACTTCTTCCCTATTATCTACTCCTGAAATTATGTATGGGCAAATTTACGTAACCCGAGTTAACATTATATATCGTTTATATAATGTTAATATAACGTTATAATCTTAAATTTAACCGAGTTTATTGTAGTGTAACGTTGTAATACTAGTAGGAGTATGACTATTAGTAGTATAGTAGTATAGTAGTTGTTGTTGTCGTCTTTGTTGCAGCAGCAGCAGCCTTGTTTTATATCAGAATGATACTATCAAGAGCGTATAAAGAAAGAAAGCGTACAACGGTGAAATGCTGAAACCATGTTGCAGTATTAGTCGAATTAATAAACTTTCCCCGTTTTATTTTGAAGATTCTTTGCAGTATTATTGATCAGCTGTCCTACCTTGTTAATATAAAACAAACCTTCCTGCCTGCTTGCTGAGGTAATGAGCGGTGAAAATCTGGTATTTTCGTCGAAAACCGACGAGATCAGTTTTACTGCGACTGTCTCGTTTTGTGACTGTATGTTGCTTCCGGTCGCCGCTGTGTAGCGCTGACTCGATACGTTATTACTACAGCGTTACTACATCCAGCGTAAGGAGCGGGTCATCACCATGGGGATAAACAACAAGACGTTTTTGTGGAGTAATGGCTGCGTCAATGACTGGAAATGCGAGAAAAGATAGTAGAAGGAAAAAAAATTTATTGTCAATGAATGACGGAAACACGCGAGGTTCTCGGCGAAAATACCAGATTTTCACTGCTCATTATCTCAACGTAGAGGCATCGTAGGGCCTAGCGGTTTGTTTTATATTAGCAACGTAGGACAGTTGATCAATAATACCACAAACAATCGTCAAAATAAAACGGGCAAAGTTTATTAATTCGACTAATACTGCAGCATGGTTTCAGCATTTCACCGTTGTACGCTCTCCTTAATACGCTCTTGATACTATTTAAACAAAAAAGGGGTAGGACTACAGGGGTGCAAGGGACTCACTTTCATAACGATATATTACACAAGCTGTGATTTTAGGACGTATGTCTTCGGGGCCACTATACCCCAAACATGGTTTATGGCGATATATCTTGTAGGCTCTACTTTGTTTTGTTACAGTTGATTTGGAGCTCTTAACGTGTGCAATTATTTGAAATCCATACAAACATGAACATATCTGTACAATTTATACACTCGTATAGATAATATAGGTTCATGATACTAGTTTACTACCACTACTAGGAGTAATGTAATTGAAATTATAATAATGAACTCTATGGTAATACAATTGATAATAGAGATCTCTACTATGTCATTCATGATATTACCATATACTAGTGTGTATATTTATTTTGCAATGTAGATTTAAAGTAATTGGAAAAGCCCTTATTTTAATTACTCCATTTACTAGCTGACTAATATCGTGGACATATATAGGCGTATAAAATATATGGTATATTATAAGCAGGACACGAAATTAAGATTTTTTTGCACTGGCCCAGAAGGCTGGCAACAGCAATTTCTTACCAGCCCTCACCATAATTTACCAGCCCTCATAAATTTTGTTTGTAAAAATCAATTTCATGTTTCACGCTTGCATTTTCGATTTCAAATTTGTAAAATGTTGATAAACTATGCCGTGATATTCTTCAGGTAAAACAGTAATGTAGGCTATTTGCTCATTAATGCTATAAATAAAAATGTAGGTACTCGCTAACACGGGCTGAAACCACCGGCTCGGAGGGACGATGTTTTGCCAATGTTACTGGCCAAATAATTTGCCAGCATATATGCTGGTGGGCCGGTGCTAATTTCGCGCCCTGATGAGTAATGAAATAATATAGGCTACACGAGATTCATGTAAAAAAAATGTTTAGCACTTACATATACCACTAATCTCCATTAGTTTGTTTAATTATTAAGTGTATCTTAATACAAAATTTAACGATTGATTGCACTGTACATTTATTTGTGATTTTTGGATTGTTTCGTAAGCATTCTTGTTATTGCGATGTCACTTCAAAGTTACTGCATTTGTTTGTTATTGCACCATGTTTTGTTTAATTTCCTTACTGTCAACGTATTGCCTAAATGATGACAAATATTGTTTAGATTTTAGTGCTAGCCAGGGAAAAAAATCAGGGAGTCTCACCATCTGAGCAAAGCGAGGATGCTGCGGGCACAAAGCGCCCTAGGGGGAGGGCCTTACTTTAATATGCTTTAAATTTAGTCTGAAATGCCAAAAAGACAATAATCTGATATGATTTTATATTCTTATAAGCACTGTTGTCAGTTGTACAAGGTGTATAACATATAAAATTGTGCCACCCTCATTCCGTCTCTATCAAATTTCATTAGTCTCATCCAAGAATAGGCCATCCAAAAGACGGGTAGATGGGTCTCTGGTTAACAATAACACAGTGATTTTAGTGAGACTCTGGAGCGATCTTGAAATTCAAGGTTCTCCCGATTTTTATGCTGATTGAAAATTAGTGTTATTCTGCGGGAGAGTCAAATTTGCAAATACCCGTAGGAGCGCCACAGACGTTTGCACAGTGTCCTCTAATCATAGTCGTGTAGCTTTTATCTGTTACCGTAATACCATTACTATGTTGGTATTTAGGGGGTTTCAGTAGAAGCCAGTGCATGGCAAATTCAACATGTACTTTACCATGTATGCTGTGTAATTTAAGCCCAGCTAGGCTGCGAGACTAACGAGCCTGTGGCTAGTTAACATGATGCTCTTTAGAGAGCAAGAACCACTGGTGTATGTGAATAGAACCTAATGTATTCTGTGATTTTTTGCAAAACATTTGTAATATCAGGTCAAGTTGGTTGAGTAGAAACAATCAGATTTTGGTAGGCACAGAAAACCTCGTATATTTTCCTTGATGGCACTGCTATCTGATTTCAAGGACTAGTTAAAAACCAGTTTCATAAGAGTGCTTGGCCAGTAGGAAACAACTCTGCAAAACCTGGATGTTCTTTAAAACTCTGACTAAATTTGTTCATGCACTGTTAGCCTCATAGACATGTCCAGTGCTTGTTGGTAGTAGTTCATTTCAACTTTAGTGATGTTGTCAGATGCTCCTGGTAGGATGTCAAAAATGTTTAGCTTTTGTAAATGATAGTGGCTTCGTGGGTGCTACTTTAATATTGGGCTTTAACCTCAAATTCACAATTTAGACTAATAAAGCAAGAGGTTAACCTATTTGTTAACATATCATGCGTGTATACAGATATGATAACATGATCATGTAGTCATGCAGGGAATAATTTTCCCGGTATCGCATCGCAATTCGCGATGTATTTTCAGCCATTTGCTACGCATATTTTTTTATGAATCGCAGTTGTGCGATGCAGCCCATGCGAGATGTAAACGGAAACATACATGTTTACAATTTACTTTTATTCTCGCTGCTTTGCGCTGCGTCAATGAAAATGCCACGTTACGCCGATTTTATTGATTGTGTTAACACCACGGCCACGTGACTTTTTAAACAATCCTGCACTCCCCCCCCCCCCGTACATCAATCAATATGCCGCCCAGGCACTGTATACACAGCCACGCCTGTGTCTGGCGCTGCACGCTCTCGCCGGGCTGCTTTCTTCGGTGCACTTTGATACTATAAAGTGAGGATGTCGTGGTCGAGGAGTCAGATAGCCGCCCTCACAATCGCTAGAACTGTATTTCATCAATGTTTGGATATTATATAACGTAAGGAACCAACATTTGATTAAAGTTCTAGACAATTATACTCGCAACATGGGCGAGTCAGCTTTAGCTTTCACTCGCCCGATATTATTTTCACTCGACATTGGCGAGCGGACGAGTGCCAAGCTCGCACGCTGTTTAAACGCTGCCGGGCAGCATGCAGAATCGCTAGTGTGTCCTAGGCTTAAGCTAGCTGTGCCTGTCACAGGCAGACACGATAACACGCCAAGCATGCACTGCGGTGTAAATTTGCACTGTGATTGTCTGAAAAAAAATGCTATACAAATTTATCCAATTGCTATGCAAAATTTATTTTGTATAGCACATTTGCTTTGCAAATTTTTGGCTGGAAATTGTTCCCTGTCATGTTCATAGTTGACGTACCGAAGACAGTTTACAATTGACATCATCTCGCAATCGAAACAAAATCGACAATAAAAATGTCTGCAACTATTATAAACCATGACACAACCTCTTTATTCACACACATTATTTGGTACTACTACAGTATTTGCACCAGTAGAAGCAGTGGAAATGGTACCAGTAACGACAGCACCACTGAGAGCTGAAATGATTTTACTAGTGGTAGTGGTGGCAGTCACATTAGCCATTAGAAAGGTACCAGTTGTTCTGCTGCACTTTAATGTTTAATGTGGTTTTTATGCCAATTTCCAGGAAGGTTTTCCACGTGGCTTCAAGGTGGACTGCAGGGTGATGGTAGAAGCAGGCACCAGGGAGTACACAGTATAGCCATTTGTCGTTGAGATTCCGTGGATGCAAATGTAAAGTTGGCTGTGACATCGAGGAGTTTCCACCAGTTATATATCATAGTATGCATTGGGAAACGTGCATTTAAGCATCAAGGTACTGCGAGCATGTCGTAATATGAGCAAATTGCACGTACAAATGTAGGAGTATGATTTCATCCGGCCCAAAAATGTATAATAGAAGCTAGCGAGGGTTAGGGATGCGTGATAGCGTATCACGGGAAGTTACGCTGGAAAGACCAGCAGCAAACATGGACGGTGGCACGTCGCAAGTCGGTAATAACCTGGAGCGGGTCGCCACAAATCGAGCCGAGGAAACCTACTCCTCGAACGTAAACTACGAGATCGTTGCACTGAGCGATGAGGACGACCAGGCAGACATCACAGCAGTCACAAGTCTAGCTGGGAGTGGGGAAGGACGACTAGTTGAGAGGCAGATTCATGCAGTGGGGAACGACCAGGTAGTGCTGGCAACTGGAAATTCTCTACCCGACAGCCTACCAGCTACATGCAACAGGTATGACTACCAATTTCAGTGGAATTCAAGCCATATTGTTATTCGTTGCTCGAGCAGTTGGCTTTTTCAGTGTAATATATGTGGTGTTGTCTATAGGTGTAGCTTTAGCCTGAAGAGGCATTACGTTGGAACGCATGTTTACATGAGTGTGGTGCAGAGTGATATTTTTTAACTTTAATTTGAAGTTGGCTCTTCAAGCAAGTACACATTCCTTGTCTGAGATGTCCTCATTGATTGTAAATGATTATATCTAGTTGTGAAAAAGAGCAGTGTATTGAGTTGTCTGCATTTAGATCGTTATCATTGCTATGCGTAAAACGTGTTTACATAAAGCGTGTGTACTATGCTTTGCCAGTGTGCCCGACCTGAAGAGACACAGCCGAGATCGCCACGCGAGAAGTAAGCACATATCCCTCGTGCAGTATCCGGCGTCGTTGGCGCACGTGCCTGATGCGATGTTGCGTGATTCCGACCACTCAGGGAGCAAGCCCTACCTCTGCAAGTACTGCGGCAAGGGGTTTCCAACCAGCACAAACCAGAAGCGTCATGAGCGCATTCATGAGGGCGCCAGGTCGCACGGATGCGCGCTCTGTCCAGCCGCGTTCAACATCAGCGACGATCTGAGAAAGCACATAAAGAGCTGTCACAGGCAAGGCTGCCATGCCTGCTACCACTGCAGCCTGTCTTTTGAAACGCAGCTCGAGTTGGAAGAACACTTGCCGACTCACAAGAGGAACCGATGGAGTAACAACAAAGTAGTGAAGCGCTTAGCCGAGAAGGGGATCGATGCAAGAGTTGGTAACTCGACGGTGAAGTACATCTGCTCCATGTGCAATAAGGCGTTTAGTCACTATGGCAACCTGTGCCGCCACCGACGATTGAGGCACGACGTGCAGTTCAAGTCGCAGTCGAGCTTTGGCAGAGCGGACGTCGTCGCCTCTTCGTACGTGATTAACATCGCCGAGAACGTGTGCGACAACGTGACGTATTTCGTGGATGGTACCATCGAGCAGATTGCTAGCCTCGCTAAGAAGAACTGCGGCGAGAAAGTTGCCGAGTCGACCAAGCCGCTAGTGAATGCCGTCACGTGGTCCAAGTACAATTTCCCAGACGGGTTCAATCCAGTCGAACGTGCAGGCTTTGATGAGCGAGTCAGCCTTGTGGAAGGTGTGGGTGATCAGAACACTCCCGTTAGTGCTATCGTAGCATATGCCAATGGCGACCTGACGCCAGAGCTTTCAATGGTTCAGCACGCGAAACACACGTTAGCTGGTTTTACGCACAAGATTCCGGGCATAAAAAGCGGTCTCGCTAGCTCCGAGATACATCAGTGCCAAATCTGCAAGGTGTTATTCATAAACTACCCCTTATACTCTCAGCACATGCGGAGCAAACATCCAAAGCTGGCCACGAACGACAGCGCTGCGCAAGAGCAAAGCCGCTCCGATCAAGAAGCCGTCGCGCCAACAGCGTCCGCACACAAACAGCCGCGCTCCAAAACTCCCTCCAGCGCAGCAGCATCGGCTCCGTGCAAGTGTGACGAGCCGCTAGACTTGACAGCGAGTAAACCGGACGCGCTTGCCGCCACGGCGATGGGGCCACGGCGACGCACGTCGCCGCAGGTGCCACGCAACAGCGTCAGCGCCAATTTCGAAAAGTGCCGCAACTCGAGCATGTGCTTTGCGTGCATGAAGGACTTCAAGGGCGAGTACACGCTGCTGCGCAAGCACCAGCAGAACGCGCACCCGATCATCGACTTTGGCGACTATGACCTGATCGTCAGCACGGGTCTGTGTCGCTACATCAGCGCGGTCGGCGTGCTGTCGGACGGTGGCGGCACCGGCGGCGGGCAGCGGGCGAGCGAGCCGGCGCCGCGCGCGTTCTCGTGCACGAACTGCGAGCGCAGCTTCGAGTCGCTTGACGACTTCCACTCGCACATCGTCTTCGAGTGTGCGACCGACGCGCTGCACAACCTCTCGAAGACGCGCTCGCCGCGCGGACGCCCGCCGAAGAACTCGCCGTGGCTCACGCGCCTCCGGCTGCTAGGCAAGACCAAGCGCAAGCTCAAGTTTGGCACGGCGGCGGCGGCGGCGGCGCAGCCCGCGACCATCGAACAAGCGAACGGCGCGGCAGCGGCGAGCAAGAAGCGGAATTCGAAGAAGCTGACAGAAGGACCGATTACGAAGAAGCGTGCACATCTCACGGCGTCGACGCTTTCGAAGACGCCGGCGCCGGGCGTCGACGGCAGTCTGATCGACATTCACAAGTGCGAGCCCTGTGATAAGAGCTTCAGCTACATCTCCTACCTGGAGAAGCACCTGAAGATCTGCCCGCACTTTACGCGCGAGGGTCGCTCGGTCGACTCGCTGCAGGAGAAGCTCGAGGAGCAGGTGAAGAAGCAGCGCACCTGCCCGACCTGCGGACGGTACTTCCCCTTCTCAGCGACGCTGCGCCGACACCTACGCCAGGGCTGCGATTCCGTCAAAGAGCTCGCGAATCGCGACGATGCGGCTGCGGCGGCGGAAGCGCGGGGTGACTCGAAGCAAGCTGCAAAGAAGCACATTCACGCGGCGCCAGCGGGAAGCGATTCGCCGGCGCTCGCGAAATGCAACGAGCGAAGCCAGATGCGTGCGACCGTTTCTGACGAGATGAAAGTCGATGGCGAGACCGCACCGGAGGCGGCTGCACCCGAGGAGAGGACGCCTGAGCCGACAGCTGCTGTCGACATCGCTGAAGCAATGGCTGCGCTGGCTTCACCCGTGATGCCAGCCTCTGACAACAGCCTCGCAGCGCGCGAGACACTGAACGAGGACCCCACCTCTGCTGTCGCGAGGGTCGACGTCTCAGCGGTCGAGGAAACCGACGATGTCGCCGGTGGCCTGGAGGAGCCGACGAAAGAGTGTCCGGCCAGCAGCGAGGTTTCGGTGTCGCCCGACGGCAGGAGTGCAAGGAAGCGCGGGACCGACGCGGGCAAGGTCGTCGAGCGTCGCGCGTCGCTGAGACACAGGGCCGGCAAGCACGAGACGCGCGCGATGCAGCGCGCAGTCGACGAGCGTCCTCCGCAGAGCGGAAGGACAACCAGACGGTCGTTATCGTCGGCGGCCATGCCGGCGGCGCCGACGAAGGAAGCTTCGCCCGCGGCTAGCACGCCGAAGCGTCTCAAGTTGAGTCCCAGGAAGAAGGACACCGCCGGTTTCACGCCGGAGATGTCGCAGCTACGCTCGCTACGGCACACCCGCAGCCGCAGCTTAGGTGGGGGCAGCCGCGCCGCTGCAAAGCCCACTGTGCCGAGTCTGACGAAGAGGAAAGGAGGTTGGCCCAAAGGAAAGCCGAGAAAACCAGTGGTTGCAAACGCAGCTGTGCGTAGTGATACGAATAACAATAGTGGTGCAAAGTAGTAGCCGTTCAGTATGGCTGCCATCCCTATGTGGGCTGTCTCACACAATGCCATGCCATGCATGATGAATTTTCGTACGTTGTATAGTAAGAGCGTGCTATAGTTGTATTTACTTGTATTCGATAATGATATATGGACAGCACGATAATGCAGCCTTTAATTATGCACAGCCTTGGAATGCAATTGCAGTCTGCCTGTTATCGCAATTTTATGCTTGGAACACAGGAGGCGATTGATAAATATCATCGAATAAATATTGAAATGTTGTAGAGTCCACACACGAGGAACTAGCATAAAGTATCGTAAACAATGTGAAGAGCCATTTTGGTGGCAGGTTTAGTTTGGATGTTTGCACCATCTTGCGTAGTTTGCACGAATTTGTATATATATACTGTCATATATAAGGTTGGCCTCTTGGGTTTTTTCTACATCTGCTTGCGTTGATCATATGGTTTAGAAAACTGTGGTTGGCCACATCGGTAATTGATACGGTGTGGCAGCATTTAGGTGTCTCACGTTTAGGAAATCTCTCTTAATATAGCTCTTTATGTTACACGATGCGTTGTATAGTTCAGCAGCGCACGACTGACTGTCCATTAAAACTCGAAACTTGAATTTTTGTTTTAATTGACAGGCTTAAAACCTCAAGTAATTGCCTGAACTGGAAACTGCAGTTAGTTTTGCGTGCACGATGTTCGTTGGTGTCGAACACGAACCGACCGTTATGCCATCGGCGCTGTTACTTCAGTACTTGCCGTGTATGAGCATTTGTTTGGAAGCTAATTGTGATGGGTTTGTTAACACTAACCGACAGCAGTGTGCATCCGCTATATAGCGTCTCTGCGTTGAAATCGGTGAGCGGCGGCGCTGTTTCAATTTATAATGGTGCCGTTGTGCAAGCGTGTTCACTTCGATTTATTGTTGTCGTGTTTCGCACTCGGTAATGTGCCTTTTTCCCCGGAGGAGTGATTTACAGCTAGCTCAATTCATCCAAGTGGATTGCTGTGTTCTATGTTCAAAGATCGTCAGCAGGAGCGATTGGACACTGGCATGCGGCCGTTGTTTGCGCTTTATGCTTTCATGCGTAATATGCATATGTATATATATATATGTATATATACATATATTTGAATACATATATATATATATATATATATATATAT